ATGCTGATGCTTTCTCCTCATTTCACTGGCGAAGTAGAACTAGCGAAACCTGGAGGTCGAAACCGGTATCGCGCACATTTTCGATGAGACTGATCTGCTCCGACTGGAATCGCTCAATGAGACGCACCAGTCGTGCATTGAGCAAGGCGTATTTCTTCCGCACCGGTATCGTTCAGTATCGTTGGAGGATTCCTTGGAATAGCTACCCTCTCTCTATCCGCTCTCACGCACGGAGTCACTCGACATACTTCCACTGTAGCAAAATATTTTGAGCGATCCGGCGCTCACTCCCATTCGAAAGGTGATGGTGTCTCGACCCAGCTGTTCCTCGAGACTCTCGAATGAGTGACGCAGAGGGTAGTGGAATTTCGACAACTCACTCGTCTAGAAATGAGTATAGATGATTGGAGATGCCTCCAATTGGCTTCCCAAGGGAAAATCCGGAAAGATTCGAGTTTATGCTTGGTGGTGTGATAATTTGATGCGTCGCCACTATTCTTCTGACGCCACGAATTAATCCGTGCCTTTCGAACCACAATCGGAGGACGGCGTACCTTAGTACCACTTGAGGTTCGAGGTCAAGTAGGAGGGTTTTTCGACAATCTGTTGGCGGAGGGGTGAAAGATGGGGAGAAAAAAATCAACTTGCACACCGGGGGATCATTCCGCAACCGCCGAATCACCTGTGGGCCGAAATTGGTGGGGAGAAAGAGCCGAAAAACAGCTCACGAAGGGAGCGCTTGCGCTTTTATCCTATGGTGGGGAATCGGGGGGATATATGCGAGAATCTTGTGTAAAAACAGCCTCACTCGCCTCCCGTTCTCATGAAAGGAGCCTGGCAATCTTTCCGACGGAATCCTCTCCGACTTCGTGATTCTTAGATCCCGATATTCAAGGACAGACATAGGAGTCCTACTCCAAAGATGGAATGGACAAGATTTCTCAGCTCGAATATGCGAATTACAGCAGTGTCGCGGTGGAATGGCTCCACTCATGAGGTTTCATTCATCTGGTTTCGGTCAACAGGGTGATGCGGGATCCTGGGCTTTCGGGATTCCGGGTTTTCGGGATTCCGGGTTTTCGGGATTCCGGGGTTTCAGGATTCCGGGGTTTCAGGATTCCGGGTTTCCGGTATTCAGGGCTTTCGGGATTCTCGAATCGTCCCCGAAAAAAAAACCATGTATCAGACTATGGCTCGACCTTTCCCTCAGAATTTCCGCTGCAGCCAATGCGAATGCTGGGCGGAAATGGATGAGGGTATCCGGGCGGGGAGAAGGGCAGTGGTCAGCGAACAAGTTCAGAGAGCAATTTTATCCTGTGGATATATTTCAATATTTTTTCCGTCAAGTTCCGGAGGTTATCTGGTGTAGCTCCCCATGGATCCATTCACATCCGGATCGTGTCGATGGACGCATGCTCAGTCCCGATTCGTCATAGAGTCCGACAGACGGACAACAAGTCGGACTGTATCAGATTTAGCGATGACTCAATCGTGGTCTCCCTGGTCAAGTCCCAGGGTCTGGATCGAGCGACGTAGTGTCACGTAGGGCTGTTGAAAATCCGTACTCTCCGAGAACCGTGATTGACGGGTACGCGAGAACCGAGACAGTAGAACCGCGGGTCAGAACCGAAAAGGACCGTGATTTTTCCTCGCCTGTGTGTGCCCGCGGAATACTTGACTCATGTCTCGACAGCCATCTTACACGAGCTGAGGCTCTTCAATTCATACCCGACAAGAACGATTAAGTTCCGGACTCGAAGGTCTTGCTCCAGATGGAAATGTCATCGAGAGCTTCAGGACGTAAGCTCGCTCTCTTCTCCCCCAATATAAAGTAGAGTACGCTGAAATCCCTCTAAGGTTGAACGGAACTGGGTGGGACGGCTTCGAGGATTTCTTTGCACAATGCGAGAAGAAGCGTGTATCAGCGGCGTTTTGTCGTCATTCATCACACAGAATTGCTAATTCTAATTACTCCCCTTGGAAAGGGGAAGAGCTTTCCGCGATAGTCGGAAGCCAATGCAGTCTTCCGAGACACTGTTGTCACCGAGGCTGACGGATTGATCAGTACTGCGGTCCAGCAGCGATTCCCGCTTGACTGATCCCGTTCTGAGCAGGGTGCCGAGTTGGTAGGACACATATTCTTGCGACGCAGATCGCGGGTCTCGAGTCGCGAGACAGTATACTCCACGGAGAGCTATGAAATTTGTTAATTACATCTTCTATCATCAACACGAGGGTTCTTCAATTATGCGGGCATTCGAGAGGAATGAGAGGAGCGCACGGGTCCACCAGCGGATCAGAGGTCGGGATGAGCTTCCGATTCGAGTGCCTGGTCGATCATGGATTCGATGAGTTCTCCGAAGCACCCGCCGAGAGTCGTCCGCGTCGCCTTGCCACCTGAGTCTTCCTCCCTCGCGCGGAGACTCGCATTCCTTGTTCGGAGAAAATACGCGGATATAACTATAACGTCCCGTTCATCATCGTGAGTCTCTTCCTGGAGCAAATCTCTGTCTCCCCATCCGGAGATCTTGCTGACTGGATCCTCAGCGAACACATCGATAGGTCGCGGGGTCGAAATCCTACGATACTCTTTATATTCGCTTGGCTGATCAAGTCGGAGAATTTCAGCTTGCGTCTCAAGATGCGTTCGAATCTACGCACTCCGAAGCAACGGGCTCCTCGCGTTGCCTCCAATCTGTTCGATGTCGCGTTTTCCGTTGCTCAAGCCCCGGAATCCTCTCACTAGGGGTCGCTGCGGACTCGTCGATCGTCCTCCTCTGGGAAAAGATGAGGGCTTCTCATGCACTCGCGTCGCGTGAGAGTTACGGAAGCGGCGATCGACAGTGTATGTCCTCCGATACAGAATTCTGACCGTCGAGTGTGGAATTCCCTTAACGACTGAAGGTGAGATGAAAAGTTAGATCCATGGAGAGATTCCATAATGCTCAAGGTAGATAGAGTTTGGGAAGTCTCCTCGACCGAACAAACTGAATGATTTATTTCAAGCCGTTACCACCGGGGAGTTTCCGGATGACCCGGAAGTGTCTGCGCCCCGATCTCTCACAACCGATAAAAATGGGAAAATCGGAAAAATCGGAAGCAGAGCTTCGGGAGGGGGCAGCGAGCAAGAAGTCCGGAATTGATCATGTCTACGATCTCTCGAAATGGATCGGATCCATTATGTCGGACAAGGATTCCTCGGATATTACTCTCGTGGTTGAGGGCGAAGCTGTATACGCTCACAAGATCATTCTCGCTGCATCGTGTGATTACTTCAGGTACTTGTACGACTCGTTCCGTATTTCATGGTTTGGCGTCCGTCTGCACGTGTCATAGACCGCTCCGGATGCGCTTGAGAGTGAGAGTTGGAGCGAGTTGCTCGTTTCCTTGCCCACCATGTCTCTCTAACGCAGATCAAGACAGACGAATACCCGTCTGAGTATTCATGACTGAAGCAAGGCCCTGTCCCTCAGACATGCGTGAGCCCTCCCGAATCGGTGGCCTTTATTGCACGCATTTGGCCCGGCCATCGGAGCGGCGCCGGCGTGAAACTGTAATGAGGGAGAGTATATCGCCGAGAACTAGGAGGATCTCGGCAGAGCACATGATGCTTGCGGAGGATTCGAATTCACAGGGAGGCGACTACACGGATTCTCCCACAGGACGGCGGAAGCGATGAATTTCACGGAAAAAAAATCAGGAATCCATCATTCCAGAGCCCAGAGAATATCGTGGAGATCAAGTCGAGATCGTGTCTTAAAACGAATGGAAGAGTGCGAGCGTGAGAGGACTCGATGCGCGTAGGAGCCTAGGGAGTGTGTTTGACTAGAACGAGCCGGCCGATCGCCCGTGGATTCCTGGAATCTATCGTTTTCCGTGTGATTCTCCGAGGTCCTTCGGCAAGAAGAGTAGTTTCTCTCGATCGACTCTCCGTCGGCGGCAAGCGTGATAGTGGGTAAGCCTGACGACGCGGAAGCCGGCAAATTTGTGATCGGGGTCAACAATGCTCTCGATGCGAAGATTTCGTCGAGCTCAGAGGCCGTGGCCGGAGTTCCGGTAGTCGCAACGAGAAAAGCCGAGAGTCTTCCCCGAACCAACACTTTGAGATCCGCTCTCCGCCTCCGACCATCATTTTCATCATTTCAAGCTTCTCCTGCATGTGTTGTTCTCATTCTCACAAAGTTTGTGAATTGGGCATGAATATATCTTCCTCTGGTGCAAAAGAGTGAGAAGCCACTCTCGTACTTCATGTTATTCACAAGAAGAGTACCCGGCCGCGCTGCGGCTTACATTGTATTTGTATGAGTGGTTATTCCAAGATCGTGACGAACAATTTATACAAATCAGTGGCGTTATCGGAACCTGGCCATTCTCAGCTCGTCTCTTCGCTTCAATAGAATTTCCTCTTCCTCAGTTATTGTCCCTTAGTATCCGAGTTGTTTCTCTCTGCTCCAAAACCTCTGATGTCTGATCTTCACCCGTGCCTAATTTTGCGTTCAAGATTTCTGTTTCCTTCCCGCTGCTCTACACATTCCCTCTTCTATTCTTCTCCCGGTGACCCTATAGGCTCCTTCTCGTCTGCTTTTCAGAATTCGTTCTCTCCCTTCACTAACCCTTGACTTTTTCCCGTCTTCCTCCACTCCCTTCCGGATCTTCTCAATTCTTCCGTTTGTCTTCTCAGTTCCTGTTTTTTCCACTTCCCCCCTCTCCCCTCTGTCGTATGCTTCTTTTCCGAGTCACTTTGTGCTTCCCCGCACTTTGCCCGCTTCTATCATTTCTTTCTTTTGTCTCCCGTTCCACCCTTGCTCTCATTTCCCATATCTCTCCAATTTTCTTCCCACTCCCTTGTCCCCTCATCTGCTCCCGTTTCTCATGATATTGTGACCGTTTGCCTCCTTTTTTCCCCTTCTCATCCCCCGCTGTCTCACACTTTCCAATCATTCTTCGCTACCTGTTCCCGCTCGCTTCCCCTGAATATCTGCTATTTTCCCGTCTCTGTCATACCTCTCTTCTTCATCTTCTTTACCTCGTCTGTACTTTCTTCCCGTGCCTAGTCTTAAGCTCTTTGTCCCTCTTTCCCGTTCCTCCTCTGCTCTCGGATCTCCTAATATTTCTCATTCCTCTCATTCCCTATATATGTATCTCCCATTTTTCACTTCTTCCCTACTCTCCTCCTAGCCTTCCGTTTTTTGATTATTGTCCTAGTCGGCTTCCTGATCTTTCGTTCCTACAAGTATTTTCCCGATTGGGGATCGCATGCTGCACAATCCGTTGGAAGCGATCAAAAACGTCGATGTGTGGCAAGACGGAGAAGAACGGATTTTTCAGAGAGCTTATTGAGCTTCGGGGAGATTTTTTCTCGCCACGAACCTTCCCAGTGCCAGAACGAATTATTGTGACGAATTTCAGAGTGGTTCCTTGCGTAGTTGAACAGCGCATGAGGAACATACTGACACGAATAGAAATACATATATATTAATATATATAGATTAGTGTAGTTTGAATTTTTCCCACGAGGTCGACATTCAGCTCTACGATCTACTATAGACAGCATGGAACGATGTTTGAACATTTCGAGATCCCGGATCCTTCACGAATCTGTTGCAATCATCTTGCCAATTCGGATTCTCCGAGATCCTAAATATTAGGCCGTTTCCCAGGGCGCTTTTCCGTGGAGGAATGATGGAGTCGAACTTGGAAGAGGTCGAGCTGAAGGACGTCACAGCCCGAGGGTTCAACGCGGTGCTCAAGTACATCTACACCGCGCGGTGGGAATTGAAATCAATGGATGTGGAGACGATTCTGGAAGTTCTTTCCGTGGCAGATCTCTATGGACTTCAGAAGATGCGAACATCACTCTGCGAGTATCTCGAGGAAATTATGTCCACCGACAATGTCTTGCTAATCTGCGACTCACTTGAGCCGCTCAGCCTCAAGCACCTGCATGAAGTTTGTGCCCATTTCATGGATCAAGTCCCACAGGCAGTTCTCGAGAGCGAGGCTTTCTGTACTTCTCGAGCGAGTACTTTGAGTCGAATTCTATCGCGTGATTCTTTCTGCGCGGAGGAGATCGACATCTTTAGGGCTGTGACTCGTTGGTGCAAGAAAAATCCTGACCCAGAAGACCAGGCCGAAGTGCTGGGTCGGCTTCGACTACCACTCATCCCGACGAGAAGTCTTCTCACTGAGGTCAAGAGCTCGAGTCTGATAACGACGGATCGATTGATCGAAGCCATCCAGATGCGGGAGTGTCATTCAGCAGATCTGCCTCTCCGGGGCGTCCTGACACAAGGACAGAATCTCGCCACCAAAGAAGACGGGGCAAAGATGCTCATTATCGAAGAGGACGGTTCTGAAGTTTTCGCTCTCCCGGAGGCTTACCGGCGCTGCCACAGCGAAGATATTCCCGAATATTACTTGACCATGGACCTGCCGGTCCAAGAGGCGTTCACAGTTGCGCTCGGCCAAGCCTTCTACGTCGACTATATCTCGTTTCGAATGCGTAAGGGAAGCTCGGCGAGTTTCGGGTACCACGTCGAGGTCTCGGTTGACCTCGTGGATTGGATCCGTGTCTTCAATCAATCCGAATTAGTCTGTCGCTCTCTCCAAAGACTTCACTTCAAGCCGAGAATGGCTCGTTTCATTCGACTCCACTACCACGAGCTCCCGTGGCACGAAAACGCTCATTTGTCCGAATTCGAAGCGTCTCTTACTGGGCTGAGAGATTTGAATTTTTGCAAAGGGTACTACGCTCCTGCGGGGAATGTCGCAACAATGAGCTTGGGAGCTGCTGTCGTAGAATGCTCGAGCGGTATCGATGAGATGATAGGTGGCAAGTCCAAAGACGGGCTCGCGGGAACAGGTTGGACCGAGCATGAAATAGGTGGCAAGCCGATCATCGTTCAGTTGTCGCAGCCGTATGCCGTGAATTCCATCAGTATGGTCCTGCCACAAGAAAATTATTATTCCTACTTCGTCGAAGTTTCTTCCGATGACAGAGAATGGACTCGTGTCATTGATCGCTCCCAGGATCGTTGTAAATCCTTGCAGAGGTTGAAATTCGCTACAGTTCCGGTCAGCTTTATCAGAATATGTGGTACAGCATCTTCTGGCAGTTCGGTACGTGCGTCGGAGGAGACTCTGATTATTGGAAATCACAGCGAGATGAATATTATCAGAAGGTCTCGCTAAGGCTCGGCTCTCTCCTCAGGTTTTTTCCTGTAGTGAATTCAAGTGCTGGGCTGAAAAGGATGAGGCTATCCAGAAGGAAACATAACGGAGCAATGGTCAGCCAACAGAAGCAAAGGTCAGTTACCACCTGAGGGAATAGCAAACCCTCTTGTTCCAGAGATTTCGTTGACCGCCTGTTTACGGATGTCTTTGTCGCTCCGCAGATGGGATCTCCGCCTCTCGCGTGAAGATCGGCCGAACCTCCTTCGCATATCCGGATGAAAGGATCTCTCATGCACAGACCTAGTAGTCACCGTTGAGCAATTTCTTCTATTCTAGAATATCGATCTTGCCTACGATAAATCATTGACAGCAGCGGAGGAGACGGTGGTTTTTCGCAGAGGAAGGCGGTCAGTGGATCGCAAGTCATGGGTCTCAAACAAAACGAATGAGTCAATGAGGGAATAAAATGTAGTTCTGTAGTTCGATTATCCGCTAAGTTTCCTCGGTCTATATCGATGAAATTGAATTCCATTCCTTGGTGATCAAGTCAGCATACCTCTTCCCTCGAGACGCAGCGACTCTGACTCAATCAGCGATAGCCCACTTGCAATCAAACAATCATTGTCTCCCTAACCATTCCCCGAGTCGATTCCGCGAGATCTTGCGTCGAAATTCACCTAGGTGGAGAACTCACTATTGGCGAACTAAGCATGTTTTGCGATTTCGTCTGATCAGTCGATGCTCGAGAATTTGGGCTCTGAGGATCGGAATATGCTCATCCTCAGCTCGATGATGTGCTCCAACAACGACAGCGACGCGGCACCGGCGCCCGGAACGGATGTAGTCGGGAGATCCCTATGAGATTCGGGTGCGAGATGGTTTCCCCACTGACGTTTCGGCACGTCCCCATCAGGTCCTGACTGAATAACTTCGAATCGCAAGGTTTGTGTAGCGCGGCACCGACGTAGTCTGTTTGCAGAGTCGCGTAAGCTCGTAAAATTCCGGTTCGCCGCAAACACTGCTCCTGGAAAGCGAATATGTTTCTGTCAATCGGATATGTCTCCGGTCGGATCTATGGCACCCCAGGCCTCTTCCTGGCTGGACAGACTCTGCACTTGCCGGTCGCGGTTCCGAGGGGAGCTCGGGCCCCGGACCAGTTTGTGATTCATTGACCGAAAAATGGAACTCGGAACTTCGTCTTATTGGACCATGCAATATCATCATTATTTATCACCAGCCGGCCTTTGGCCGGCTGGAGCCGGCCCGCATTCGGAGGAGGCGGCGTTGATGGAACGGTAAATTGAAAACAATAAAAGTCTCGAAGTTCAGGCGGCTGATTTACAGAATGGTGCAAAGTATGATCGGCATTCACGTGTAGTGCATGTAAAATTACATGATTCCTGTGTTGAAACGAAGCTCACATATCACTTTCCCTCATCCCTTCCCTGTCGTGAGTACTTTGTCCCCATACCCTAGTCACTCATTGGCGAAAAGCTCCTTGTACACAATATTGCGCCCTTTAGAGGTAGCTTGAGCAATTCGTTGATTTTCCCTGCTTCTCCTCTGTCGCTGGACGTCCAAGCTGCGTCTGTGAGCTAAGCGCTCAACGGAGTCATCCGGCTGAACTATATGTTCGTGCGGGGTTGCGCCGCAAGCGCGAAACTTCCGACGCGATCGTGCCGCGCGTTGTGCGGCTGCATGCGCCGCTAACCGGCGCTGTCGTTCCGCGGAAGTTTCGCGCTTACGGCGCAATTCCCTACTCAGCCTCTGCCGCTGTGCTGCTCGGAGGCGCCCTTGGTCAGAATCTTCCGAGAGATCGTGTTCGGAGTGTGCCGGTGGGGCTGTTCGTGTCCGTCTTAAGCGAGTCCTACTTGCTGTCGGCGTTCCGGGAGCCGTGGAAGAACGCGTTCTTTTGGCGACAGGCTCGTGAGAAGAGTTTTCCGTGGTGAGGAATGCGACGGGGGAAAGATAGTGATGCAAAGGGGGAAAGATTAATGGTGCATCGTTTTCTAGGGAGATGGAATAATTGATAATGCTGGGATTTCCGCGCCAATACTTTTGAACTTTGACATGGAAAAACTCGACGGAGCATGCTTTGCGAGAAAGTCTGAGCATTCTCCTCAGTTCATGGGGAAAGTGTTAATCGGCAGCCGTGCTGTCAGAGGCAGTCGAGCTCTTGTGGAAGGCGGTGGCCATGTAATAGGTGTGACACACGCGTGACATTAGCCGTTTATATGGAGGGTAGCCGTTTATATGGAGGGGGGATTAGAGCTCGGAAGTTCAGGCGCTGAAAAGAGCCGAAAATGGCTGGTAAAAAGGCAATGAACTTCCGAGCTCTATCTATGATATTATCACGACTAGGCAGCATTTCGAGTGTGACGACACCGTTCCACCAGGGGGCGAGATTTGCCACGCAATTCCATCGTAACTCATCATTAGAGCTCGGGAGTTCAGGCGCTGAACAATGCCGGAAATGGCAATTACAAAGGCACTTAAATACCTTGATATAGGCACCAAAACGAGGCAAAGCAGGCATGATAGGCAGGGCCAACGGCGCATCTAACCGTTCGTCAGTGCCGTTTGATGATTTTACGTGGTCTTCCGCGGTGCCATCGTTCAGTAATCGAGGTCGGTCTGATAGGTTATTAGACGCTATTGATCCCCAACTGTGGAAACGCTCCCTCAGGTCTCTACGGCGGTTGAATGCAGCCGACTCCTTGGCACCCGTCGCCCCCGTCGGAGATACGTTGTGTCTTCTCGTCGAGCGACGTGCGTCGGTGAGCGGTTTCGAGCCGTCGGTTTCCGAAAGCCTGGCGGGCATCACAAAGTGTTTCGGAAAAGTTGATTTAACTTTACGATTCGATCTCGGGACGGTGTCTCATATCGTTCAGTCGAGCGATCCGGTCACGTTTTTTCCTCCACCGGTTCTTAGAGGGAATATTGTCTGTCGATAATGTCCTCATCGCGGCTTTTCGACTCCCTTTGTTGTCGTCGGAGTGAGACGTCTAGGAAAACTGTTTGGACGATTTCAAGTTGTGTGTCGACAGTCTTTGTTGGTGTGACTGTTTCCCCAAAGGCCAGATTGTATATCGAATTCCTGCCTCCTAGATAAGCTGGGGATGTATCCATGTTTCCTGACAACTGATTCTGACCTCGGAGAGGAATCAGAATTTCACGTTCCGATCTTACCAGATTGCTGTGAATCTAAATAAGTCTGTAAAAAAATTCTAGGAATGCTCTCGGAAAACCGAAAATTGTGTGTCCGAGGCCAATAGCTCCCCGATAACAGTCTTCGGATCTTCCTAGACGTAAAACTAATTTCCATCCCAAAAGTTCGGATATAAAGGTTTCCGAATCAGAAGTTCGGAAATTAAAAAGGGCGAACTCCGAACTTCGGAAACTCAGGCCTATTCGGAACGCTAGCCTAATGAAGTGGAAATGAATGTTCACTCATGAATTAGATCCTTCAATAGCATCTACGATAGGTGGGTATCGACAGGGGTGAATTTCAGCTCGGACCACTTGTGGGAATGATATGAATCTCTGACGGGATTCGAGGGGATGTTTCTCTGTAGATTGTACACTAGGTCGGCGAGGGACCTATCTATCTTCCATCTCTGCGATCGGCGGGAGCCCATGGAGTATCCAGGAAAAAAGTGTTTCCTTCGAGGTCATCGGAGCGATCCGCGACGCGGGCTCAAAGTACTCCGAGTTTGGGGCATCTGGCATGGATTGGAGTACGGGGAAGAAGAGCCTGTAGGGAGACTTCTTCGGGCTTTCGGGTGCTCGACCCTGAATCCCGAAAACTCGGAATCCAGG